GCAGCCTGTCTGTCTGTCCAGCCGAGTTTCTGGGTGCTCCAGTGATGGGGGTCCTGGCGCAGCCTGTCTGTCTGTCTGTCCAGCCGAGTTTCTAGGTGCTCTGGTGATGGGGGTCCAGCTGAGTTTCTGGGTGCTCTGGTGATGGGCGGTTTTTATTTGTTCTGTGAGCTTTCCTGTGTGTGGCAGAGTGCTTGATGTTTATGGAAACCTGCAAATTTGGTGGGAGAAAAACAGGCAGGAAAAAGGGAGGGAGGGAAGGAGAGAAGGAGGGAGGGAAGGGGGGAGGGAAGGGGGGAGGGACACACCAAGGGAGGGAAAGAGAGGAAGGAAGGAAAGAATGAAAGAGGGTGAAGAAAGGGAGGGAAGAAAGGAGGAGGAGATGGAGGGAGTGAGGGAAGGAGGGAGGGACAGAGCAAGGGAGGGAAAGAGAGGGAGGAAGAAACGGAGGAAGGAAAAATGAAGGAAGAAATGAAAAATGAAGGTCGGAAGGGAAGAAAGGAATGAATGAAGGGAGGGAGGGAGGGAAGGAAGGAGAGAAAGAGCTAGGGATGGAAAGAGAGGAAGGAAGGAAGGAAAAATGAAGGGAGGAAGGGAAAAACGGAGGGAGGGAGGGAAGGAAAGAGGGAGGAAGGGAAGGATGGAGGAAGAAGGAAAGGGAGAAGCGAGGAAGGAAGGAAAGAATGGAAGAGGGTGAAGAAAGGGAGGGAAGAAAGGAGGAGACAGGGAGGAAGGAAGGGAGGGAGGGAGGGAAGGAGGGACGGAAGGAGGAAGGAGGGAGGGAGGGAAGGAGGGACGGAAGGAGGAAGGAGGGAGAGAGGGAAGGAGGAAGTAAAAGAGGAAGGGAGGGAAGGAGGGACGCAGGGAGGAAGGAGGGAGGGAGGGAAGGAGGGAGGAAGTAAAAGAGGAAGGGAGGGAGGGGGGAGGGACGGAAGGAGGGACGGAAGGAGGAAGGAGGGAGGGAGGGAAGGAGGGAGGAAGTAAAAGAGGAAGGGAGGGAAGGAGGGACGGAGGGAGGAAGGAAAGGAGGAGGAAACGGAGGGAGAGCGCGCGGGAGGACACAGGGAGCCGCCAGAGCGCTTCCTCCCCTGGCTCCCAGCCTGAGCGCCCTGGCCCGTCCCTTGCGCCCCTCCGCGCTCCTCACCCCTGACCGCGCCCGTTCCCTCGCAGACCCCGGTGGGGCCGGCAGAGCCGCCCCAGGATGCAGCCCCCCGCGAACGGCAGCGCGGGCCCCGACAACGCCACGCTGGAGATGCTGCGCGACCCGGCCATCGCGGTGGCCCTGCCCGTCGTGTACTCGCTGGTGGCGCTGGTCAGCATCCCGGGGAACCTGTTCTCGCTGTGGGTGCTGTGCCGGCGCATCGGGCCGCGCTCCCCGTCCGTCATCTTCATGATCAACCTGAGCGTCACCGACCTGATGCTGGCGGCCGTGCTCCCGTTCCAGATCTACTACCACTGCAACCGCCACCACTGGGTGTTCGGGGTGCTGCTGTGCAACGTGGTCACGGTGGCCTTCTACGCCAACATGTACTCCAGCATCCTCACCATGACCTTCATCAGCGTGGAGCGCTTCCTGGGCGTCCTGTACCCGCTCAGCTCCAAGCGCTGGAGGCGCCGCCGTTACGCGGTGGCCGCGTGCGCCGGGACCTGGCTGCTGCTGCTGGCCGCGCTCTCTCCCCTGGCGCGCACGGACCTCACGTACCCGGTGCACGCGCTGGGCATCGTGACCTGCTTTGACGTCCTCAAGTGGTCCATGCTCCCCAACCTGGCCATGTGGGCCGTGTTCCTCTTCACCATCTTCATCGTCCTGTTCCTCATCCCCTTCCTGGTCACCGTGGCCTGCTACACGGCCACCATCCTGAAGCTGCTGCGCACAGACGAGGCGCACGGCCTGGGGCAGCGGAGGCGCGCGGTGGGCCTGGCCGCGGTGGTCTTGCTTGCCTTCGTCACCTGCTTCGCGCCCAACAACTTCGTGCTCCTGGCGCACATCGTGGGGCGGCTCTTCTACGATAGGAGCTTCTACCACATCTACAAGCTCACGCTGTGTCTCAGCTGCGTCAACAACTGCCTGGACCCCTTCGTGTACTACTTCGCTTCTCGGGAATTCCAGCTGCGCCTCCGGGAGTACCTGCGATGCGGATGGGTGCCCGCGGACCCCCTGGACGCTCGCCCAGAGAGCCTCTTCTCCGCCAGGACCACGTCTGTGCGCTCCGAGGCCGGCACGCGCACAGAGGGGCCGGAGGGAGCCTCCAGGCCCAGCCTTAAGAGGCAGGAGAGCGAGTTCTGAGTCCTGGGGCGCAGCTTGGAGAGGCGGGGGCGCCGCTTGGAGAGCCGGGGGCGCCGCTTGGAGAGGCGGGGGAAGCAGCTTGGAGGCCCGGGGGCGCAGCTTGAAGAGCCGGGGAAGGCAGCTTGGAGAGCTAGGCATATGGAGAGCCAGGGCGCATGGAGACGCCACGGTTCCCGCGTTTCAAAGAGGGCAGGAGCATCCTTCCCAGGCACTGCAGAGGCATCGGTGGGGAAGAGGAAAGGGTCTCCAGGCTGCGTTCCTTCCAGGCAGTGCGGAGGCGCACGGTGGGCCTGGCCACGGTGGTCCTGCTGGCCTTCATCGTCTCCTGCTTCGCCCCCAACAACTTCGTGCTCCTGGTGCACATCGTGGGGCGTCTCTTCTACGACAGGAGCTTGGAGAGCCGGGTGCGCAGCTTGGAGAGCCGGGGGAAGCAGCTTGGAGAGCCAGGGCGCAGCTTAGAGGGTCGGCGGTGCAGCTTGGAGAGCCGGGGGCGCAGCTTGGAGGCCCGGGGGCGCAGCTTGAAGAGCCGGGGGAAGCAGCGTGGAGAGCGGGGGGAAGCAGCTTGGAGAGCCGGGGGCACGCAGCTTGGAGAGCCGGGGGCACAGCTTAGAGAGCCGGGGGAAGCACCTTGGAAAACCGGGGAACGCAGCTTGGAGAGCTAGGCATATGGAGAGGCAGGGCGCATGGAGACGCCACGGTTCCCGCGTTTCAGAGAGGGCGGGAGCTTCCTTCCCAGGCACTGCAGAGACATCGGTCGGGAAGGGGGAAGGGTCTCCAGGTTGCGTTCCTTCCTGGCAGTGCGGAGGCGCACGGTGGGCCTGGCCGCGGCGGTCCTGCTGGCCTTCATCGTCACCTGCTTCGCCCCCAACAACTTCGTGCTCCTGGCGCACATCGTGGGGCGGCTCTTCTACGACAGGAGCTTGGAGAGCCGGGGGCGCAGCTTGGAGGCCCGGGGGCGCAGCTTGGAGGCCCGGGGGCGCAGCTTGGAGGCCCGGGGGCGCAGCTTGAAGGACCGGGGGCGCAGCTTGGAGGCCCGGGGGCGCAGCTTGAAGAGCCGGGGGAAGCAGCTTGGAGAGCCGGGGGAAGCAGCTTGGAGAGCCAGGGCGCATGGAGAGGCCATGGTCCCGGTCCCCGAGGTTCAGAGATGGCAGGTACCTTCTTCGCAGGCACTGCAGACGCCCGGTGGGGAAGGGTCTCCAAGCTTCACTCACGGTAGGGAAGGAAGTAAATCGCAGAGAGTGGCAAGGGGCGCTTTGTTCTGCTGCAGAGGGCGGCAGCTTTCGGTGGCTCTGCCTGGCAGTGCTGAGGGACAGCGCGTGCCACCATGCCTGGCTAATTTTTGTATTTTTTTTGTTATTTTGAGAGGAGTTTCGCTCTTGTTGCCAGGCTGGAGTGCAGTGGCACCGTCTCCTCTCCGTCCAACCTCCACCTCCTGGGTTCAAGCAATTCTCCTGCCTCAGCCAAAGGACACTGTGTGCCACCATGCCCGGCTAATATATATAAATATGTACATGATACATGTGTATTATGTATAAATACATACATAATCTCACAATATGTAATATATACATATATATGCATATGTAATATATACATAGAGATTATGTATATATATTATATATTACATGTATTATATGATATATATATATTTTGTTATTAGGTATATATTTTTATATAATAATATAAATATATATATATAAACATTTTTGAGATGGAGTCTTGCTCTGTTGCCCAGTCTGGAGTGCAGTGGCACGATCTCGGCTCACCGCAACCTCCGCCCCCGGGGTTCAAGCGATTCTCCTGCCTCAGCCTCCCGAGTAGCTGGGATTACAGGCACCCGCCACCACGCCCAGTTAATTTTGCATTTTTAGTAGAGATGGGGTTTCTCCATGTTGGCCAGGCTGGTCTCGAACTGCTGACCTCAGGTGATCCGCCCGCCTCCCTCTCCCAAAATGCTGGGATGACAGGTGTGAGCTACGGTGCCTGGCTATTTTTTGTATTTTTAGTGGAGATGGGCTTTCACCCCCGACTCCTTGGACCCTCCTTCTCACACGTGTCCCTACCAAGTGTGGACATTTCACCAGCCCCGCTGCCTCCCCCCTCAGTTTCCGGCTGTTGTCACCGGGCGACCTGCAAGCCCCGTTCCCAGCTCCTCTCCTTGCTCAGGCCGCCCTTTAGCTGTGGTCTGGGGCTTCTCCATTCTGACCCTGGGGTTCTGGTCTCCGGAGCGTGGTGCACCCCAACATTTCAATTTCTGTCACTCAGGGTCACTGTAGTTGCCGTGGTGGTAACTGTTCTTCCAGAGGAACAAGGACAGACTATTTCTAATGACTCTGGGAGCTCCTGGGATTCCTTCCAGTCAGCAGGTGCCCCGCACCCCCAAGCTGAGCGCTGTGATTTGTGTCTCTTTTTTTGAGATGGAGTTTTGCTCTGTCTCCCAGGCTGGAGTTCAGTGGTGTGATCTCGGCTCACTGCAACCTCCGCCTCCCGGGTTCAACGGATTCTCCTGACTCAGCCTCCCGAGTAGCTGGGATTACAGGCGTGCCCCACCACACCTGGCTAATTTTTGTGTTTTTAATAGAGACGGGGTTTCACCTTGTTGACCAGGACGATCTCAATGTCTTGACCTCGTGATCCACCCACCTTGGCCTCCCAAGGTGCTGGGATTACAGGCGTGAGCCACCGCGCCCGGCTACACTGTGTTTTTATGGGACAGTTGTTCTGACCTGACTTGGGGGACCCCCGCCTCTGCTTCTGTGACTGCCTGATGGGGAAGAAGATCCCATCAAGTCACTGAAACCTGCTCAGGCTTTCCTGAGTCAGGACGAGGACTTTGGAAGCCCGGGAGTGTTAAGGATGCTCTGTAAGAGGGGTTGACGTGCGGTGTGATTCCAGAGTTCCCTACCTCCTGCCCATTCTCCGGGTCCTTTACCCCACAGAGGGCCTCAGCCATCCCACGTCCGTCCAGCGTCCGGGGAGCAGGCAACGGGCCTGACCCGTGAGACCGTTTGGGGACGGAATACCAGACACAGGCGTGGACCCCAGGGTCCTCTGCCCAGGGGCTCCGTCGTGGGCGGCTTTCAATGCCCGGCCCCTCCCTTTCTGGGCCTGGGGGATGCTGATGGAGGCCGAAGCTGATGTTCTGAGCCTCTCTGTTGCTGTCTCTTCCCCGGCATCCTCGCTATGGAGAGAAAACAGAGATGGTTTAGCAGTGCAGTGACTGATGCCCCCTCCCCCCCCAAAATTCACGTCCCCCGGAACATCAGGACGGGACCGTGTTTGAAAACACGGTCATCACAGACGGATTTAGTCAGGTGTGACCATTCTGGATTCAGAATGGGCCCAGTCCAGTGTCCCTATGAGAGGGTGAGCAGGAGACACAGACGGGGGAGGCCACGTGGACATGGAGGCGGAGGCTGAAGTGATGGGGCCACAAGCCCAGGGATGTTGGAGCGCCCAGGAGCCTGGAGAGGCAGGAAGCATCCTCCCCTAGACCCTCCCGAGGGAACTGGATACAAGTGAAGCGGATTGATCTGTGGTTTCCCCAAAAAGATATATCCATATCCATGTCCTAACCCGCATAACCTGCGAATGAGACCTTATCTGGAAAAGTGGTGTTTGCAGATGTAACTAAATAAAGGACATTAAGACGGGATCGTCCTGCATTATCTGTGTGGTCCCTAAATCCAATGACAGGTGTCCTTCTGAGAGACAGAGAGGACACCCAGACTCAGAGGAGGGCACGTGGAGAGACAGGCAGAGGCTGCAGTGATGGGGCCACAAGCCCAGGCATGCCGGAGCCCCCAGGAGCTGGAAAGGCAGGAAGGACCCTCCCCTAGACCCTCCCGAGGGAGCACACCCCTGAGACCCCTGTACTTCAGACTTCTCCTCCCCATCACTGCAGGAGAATAAACTTGTGTTAAGCCCTGAGTTTCTGGGAAATTCATTTCGGCAGCCCCAGCAAACGCGCACGCACACACACACGCGCGCGCACACACGTTTAATCCACTGTGACATCCTGGAGCTGTTACATGGGAAACTGCAAAGTGCTGGTTCCCAGAGGGGTCATTTCGGGAGCCCCAGCGTGTCCTGGGCTGGGTCTCAGGGAGGGCTGTTTGGCCCCAGTCCCCCACACGTGGTCACTCGACTCAGATGAGGGCTCGTGAAACAATCATGCCTTGTAACGCTTTTTTTTTGTGTTGTTTTTATTTTCTTTTTTTGGAGACACGGTCTCGCTCTGTCGCCCGGGCTGGAGTGCAGCGGCGCGATCGTGGCTCACCGCAACCTCCACCTCCCGGGTTCAAGGGATTCTCCTGCCTCAGCCTCCTGAGTAGCTGGGACTACAGGCATCCTCCATCATGCCTGGCTAATTTTTGAATTTTTAGTAGAGACGGGGTTTCGCCATGTTGGCCAGGCTGGTCTCGAACTCCTGACCTCAGGTGATCCACCTGCCTCGGTTTCCCAAGGAGCTGCGACGACAGGTGTGAGCTACCTCACCTGGCCTTTTTTTTTTTTTTTAATCTGGACAGCAGAGGCAGGTTTTTTTGCAACACTCAGAAGACTGGTGGTTCGATCTCTCCATCACCCCCTCAGGAGGCACAGACGCTGCTGTATGAATCACATCGTGAAGGCATCCAGGGTTGGGGTACACAAGAGCCCCGTGTTTTCTGATTTTTCTTGATTGCAGGACCAGAGTTTCGTTTGTTTGTTTCTGTTCTTGCTGAGACAGTGTCCCTTTGTTGCCCAGGCTGGAGTGCAGTGGCGTGATCTCAGCTCACTGCAACCTCCACCTCCCAGGTTCAGGTGATTCTCCTACCTCAGCCTCCCAAGTAGCTGGAATGACAGGTGTCTGTCACCATGCCCAGCTAATTTATATATATATATATATATATACATTTTTTTTTTTTTTTGAAATGGAGTCTCACTCTGTCACCCAGGCCCGAGTGCAGTGGTGCAATCTCAGGTGACCGTAACCTCTGCCTACCGGGTTCAGGCGATTCTCCTGCCTCAGCCTCCCAAGTAGCTGGAATGACAGGTGTCTGTCACCA